CTCACGCACTCACTCACTCACTCATTCACACGCACACACTCACTCACTCACTCACACGCACACACTCACTCATTCACTCACTCACTCACTCACACGCACACACTCACTCATTCACTCACTCACACGCACTCACTCATTCACTCACTCACTCACTCATTCACACACACACGCACTCACTCACTCACACAGCGCACACACACACACATTCACTCACTCACTCACTCACTCACTCACTCACTCACACGCACACACACATTCACTCACTCATTCACTCACTCACTCACTCACACACGCGCACACACACTCTCACTCACACGCACACACTCACTCATTCACTCACTCACACGTACACACTCACTCATTTACTCATTCATGCACTCATTCACTCACTCACGCACTCATTCACTCACTCATTCACACGCACACACTCACTCATTCACTCACACGCACACACTCACTCATTCACTCACTCACACTCACTCAGTCACTCACTCATTCACTCACACACGCGCACACACACACTCACTCACTCACTCACACACACACTCACACGCACGCACACTCACTCATTCACTCACTCACTTGCACACACACACACTCACTCACTCATTCACTCACTGACTCATTGCCGGCGGCACTGCGGGCGACGCCACAGCCGCGGCACCTGGACCCACGCTTCCCTCTGAGAGACGAGCACTCGAGCCAGAGCACAGCTGTTCCAGACCTCTCAGCACACACACACACACTCACTCACTCTCACACACTCACAAACACACACACTCACACTCATTCACTCACTCACACACTCACTCATTCACTCACTCACTCACTCACTCACTCACACACACACTCACTCACTCGCTCGCACGCACACACTCACTCACTCACACACGCACACACTCACACGCACACACACACACACACTCACTCACTCACTCACTCACACACTCACTTAGTCACTCACTCAAGGCCCTGATATACTTCAAACGAAGTTAGTTTTCGTTCTTTGTTTGGGGGGAAAAAGAAGTTTGAAAAGGCTGAGCGACGGTATACTGTTTTCAAACATTCCGACACCCGCGCTGCTGGAGGCGGGGTGTAATGTAAACGTGTGTCGTGTCACGCCACTCGCGCGTATGCCCTAAACACAACAACGATGCAATGACGAAATGTATCTAGGTGTGAGATGGGCCCCAATGGTCAGAATATTATAGACAAAAGAATAATGATTAGCAGCAGTTCAGAGTCAAGTATCATGTTTGCAATACAAAAGGACCATTCCATTTCCATATTCAGTCCTTTATGGGAAGTGTGAATGTCTCATAGTCTGAAAACTTTTTTTTTTTTAAGTCTGAAAACTTTAGCATGATGTGAAAAAAAAATATTGGAGTCATCTCAATAACATAAACATGATACTTTCTTTTATGATTGTTCATTTATTTTATTAAACTGGGTAAACTAATGCACCTTTTTATATTTTATGTGGTGTCATGATTTAATTTTGATAAAAACAAAGGTTAAGTATTGAATGTTCTTTTGGCATTTCCTCTCAAATTCGCTTACAGAAAAAACGACTGCAGCAGCATGATTTTGTTTGAAATGAAGTCATATCAGTTTGTTCTTCGATTTCGTTTGAAGTATATCGGGGCCTTCACTCGCTCGCTCACTCACTCACACACAGACACACACAGAGCCGTAGCTCATGAATTATTCATGATCTTGCCCGGCAGGAGGCGGAGCGTCAGAAGGAGGAGGCGGAGCATCAGCAGGAGGATGAGGAGGGCTGGGTGAAGGTGACGAAGGGCAGCCGCGGTGTGAAGGTCCGCCCACACAGCGAGACGGCCAATGAGAGGACACTTCAGAAGGAGAAGAAGAAGAAAGAGCGCAAGGAGCTGCTGAACTTCTACACGTGGCAGCACAGAAACACGCAGAAAGAATGTGAGTCTTGAGATGATCAACGACTCATTCATGCATGAGTGAAGACTGAGAGAGAGAGAGAGCACTAGATAGTGTGTGACGAGTCTGCTGTCTGAACGCCACCGACTTTAATTGTTTTTATCATGAAAAACAATTGTAAACAATAGAAATGTGAGATATAAACTCCAAATTGCAGAATTTCAATATATAATCTATAGAATTGCGAGATGTAAACTCCGAATTACAATATAAACTCAGAATTGTGAGATAAACTAGAAAGTTGCGAGAAGTGAACTCAGAATTGCGAGTTGCAAACTAAGAACTGCAAGATACGAACTCAGAATTGTGAGATTTAAACTCAGAATTGCAAGAAATAAACTAAGTGCGAGATGTAAACAATAGAATTGCGAGAAGTGAACTCAGAATTGCAAGAAATAAACTAAGTGCGAGATGTAAACAACAGAATTGCGAGATTTAAACTCAGAATTGTGAGATGTAAAATTGTTATTCCTTTTTTCTTGCAATGCTGACTTTTTGGGTTTTTTTCAAAATTGCACCTTTTTATGTCATAACTGTTGTAATTCTGAGAAATAAAGGTCAGAGCATGGTGCCGTGTGTCTGAGAGGCTCTCAAAACGAATCATCCGTCTGTTTCAGATATCGCTGAGCTGAGGAAGAAGTTTGAAGAGGACAAACAGAGAATCGCTGTACTGAGAGCACAGAGGAAATTCAGACCCTACTGATTCAACATACCCACAATCCCCTGCACCCGCTGACTCCACATACCCACAATCCCCTGCACCTGTTGGCCTGTACTGTCTGGTTACATGAAGGTTCATTTGAAATAAAGTCTGGAGAGCATCAAAGGTTTCTATTTACAATGTGTTTTTTTAGCGCTGAGCAATGTAGCCAATCACAGACTTATCTGTTGATTCTTGAACACCTCTGATTGGCCATTCTGTTCAAATGAGTGAGAATTCACTAGCCGGATTTTTTCTGCACATGAATTAGTCTCGTTGTAACATGATGTAAATAAGAGGGTAAACTAATGCACCTTTTTATATTTTATGTGGTGTCATGATTTAATTTTGATAAAAACAAAGGTTAAGTATTGAATGTTCTTTTGGCATTTCCTCTCAAATTCGCTTACAGAAAAAACGACTGCAGCAGCATGATTTTGTTTGAAATGAAGTCATATCAGTTTGTTCTTCGATTTCGTTTGAAGTATATCGGGGCCTTCACTCGCTCGCTCACTCACTCACACACAGACACACACAGAGCCGTAGCTCATGAATTATTCATGATCTTGCCCGGCAGGAGGCGGAGCGTCAGAAGGAGGAGGCGGAGCATCAGCAGGAGGATGAGGAGGGCTGGGTGAAGGTGACGAAGGGCAGCCGCGGTGTGAAGGTCCGCCCACACAGCGAGACGGCCAATGAGAGGACACTTCAGAAGGAGAAGAAGAAGAAAGAGCGCAAGGAGCTGCTGAACTTCTACACGTGGCAGCACAGAAACACGCAGAAAGAATGTGAGTCTTGAGATGATCAACGACTCATTCATGCATGAGTGAAGACTGAGAGAGAGAGAGAGCACTAGATAGTGTGTGACGAGTCTGCTGTCTGAACGCCACCGACTTTAATTGTTTTTATCATGAAAAACAATTGTAAACAATAGAAATGTGAGATATAAACTCCAAATTGCAGAATTTCAATATATAATCTATAGAATTGCGAGATGTAAACTCCGAATTACAATATAAACTCAGAATTGTGAGATAAACTAGAAAGTTGCGAGAAGTGAACTCAGAATTGCGAGTTGCAAACTAAGAACTGCAAGATACGAACTCAGAATTGTGAGATTTAAACTCAGAATTGCAAGAAATAAACTAAGTGCGAGATGTAAACAACAGAATTGCGAGATTTAAACTCAGAATTGTGAGATGTAAAATTGTTATTCCTTTTTTCTTGCAATGCTGACTTTTTGGGTTTTTTTCAAAATTGCACCTTTTTATGTCATAACTGTTGTAATTCTGAGAAATAAAGGTCAGAGCATGGTGCCGTGTGTCTGAGAGGCTCTCAAAACGAATCATCCGTCTGTTTCAGATATCGCTGAGCTGAGGAAGAAGTTTGAAGAGGACAAACAGAGAATCGCTGTACTGAGAGCACAGAGGAAATTCAGACCCTACTGATTCAACATACCCACAATCCCCTGCACCCGCTGACTCCACATACCCACAATCCCCTGCACCTGTTGGCCTGTACTGTCTGGTTACATGAAGGTTCATTTGAAATAAAGTCTGGAGAGCATCAAAGGTTTCTATTTACAATGTGTTTTTTTAGCGCTGAGCAATGTAGCCAATCACAGACTTATCTGTTGATTCTTGAACACCTCTGATTGGCCATTCTGTTCAAATGAGTGAGAATTCACTAGCCGGATTTTTTCTGCACATGAATTAGTCTCGTTGTAACATGATGTAAATAAGAGGTTCATTGATTATAAAGGAACTTTGTGAGATCGCGATGAACTGAAGGAAGTGACACCTTTTTAGTTATTATAAAGGAAGTGCTATTGCCGCACTTTCTAGGCTAAATATAATCTGCTCAGAATTCAAACAAAAGTTTAGTTTTTTCAGCCATATACCCTGTACAAGCAGTTTCAAGGTTCATAAATGTGATGCATTTTCGAATGGGAGAAAAATAATTTGTCAAAATAGATGTTCAAGCAAAGTAAATGCAGACTAAGAAAAATATTAGAATTTTTGTGTCAAAATGTTTTTTTTTAAATGCGGTTGCAATTATTTATAAAAGTAATTACTAGTAAATCTTGCATTTTTCTCACTGTACATTGTTCCTGAATTCCAGCTTTCCTGGGGAATACACTGCCACTAGGTTGAAGTGCATCATCCTAATTAGGAGACTAATTAGGGGACCTCGTCAAGGTTTTTCTGGTTTATCAAAGGGACTAAAGGTTTATGATCTGTGAGTACTTTGAAGGACTCCAAACCACAAAGATATCGTGACAGCTTTTCACACATCCAAACTGAAGCCAAATGCTCTTATTCAATTTGAGCGTACTGCTTCTCTGCGGCTGTGAGAGTACGGAAACAGAAGGCCACTGAAAGCATCTTCACATCATGCTCTTGAAGCAATGCACCCCCTATTCTATAACTGCTGGCATCAGCCGAGATGACTGTTGGCTTGTTCACGTCGTAATACGCCAACACTGTGGCCGCGTGAACGCCTCCTCTTGACTCTTGTCCCATCTCCACACTGCATCGGCTCTCAGTAGCTCATTCAATGACTGTAACACTGTATCGCAGTGTGGCAGGTAACGGCAAAGCTAATTAATCAGACCCAGCATCCGATCATGACATGAGAAATCAGATTTGCCTTGATCTTTTGGCATATAAGAGTTCTTTGTACCATTAAAACATCCTGCACGTTTCATAGCTTAAAACGTTCTCCTCATTATAAACAAAGCATTTATTTAATCAAGCTCCAAAAACGGCTCATTTGGATCTGAGGTGCAAGATGAAATCACCCAGGCACAAACATCTGCATAAACACCGCTTCCAGAGCAAGACATCGACGAATAGTCTTATTCTCACCATAGGCACCGCCCACAGGCGCTCAATAGAAATTACAATTATTGCCGGGGGCGTTGAAACTGTTTCCCATGCAATAACATTAGCCAATCATAACAGTGGCCAATTACTGAGAAGCTTTAAAGGACCCGCACCTTAAAAACGTCTCTGGTTACTTGCGTAACCCATTTTCGTCTCGTTCCCTACACAGAGAACCTGGGTTACGCAAGTAACCAGAGAACGCCAAGCTAAAACCCTGCTGTATCTGGCCAGATGAAGAACCACATAGCATCCACGGCTGGTTCAAGTGGACAAGACCTGGGAACCAGGAGCCGTGTCAACATCCAAATTATAGAACTTTATAGAGCGTGCGGAGTGGACCATCCTGCCTCTACATACACATCCTCTAGGGGGACCCCTCTAAAAAGAGCTTGAGAGGAAGCCACACTCCTGGCAGAATGCGCCTGAATACTGAGAGGTGAAGAAAGACCACGCACCTTGTATGCCAGCGAAATAGCATCCCTAACCCAGTGAGAAATTCTGTGCTTCGATGCAGCAAGCCCACAGTGGTGGCCAGCAACAAAGCATATCAACAGCTGGGAAGATTTCCTCCAATGGCTAGAGCGGTCTACGTAGAGCTTCAAAGCTCAGACAGGGCAGAGCATGTGAAGACTCTCATCCTTTCCTGAAGCAAAAGGAGGAGGATGGAAAGAGTGAAGGGTATCCACCTGAAAGCGAAATGATGTGGACAAAACCTTGGGAACATAGCCCGACCAGGGTCGTAAGGTTACTTTGACCAAACCCGGTGCGACGTCCATACACATCACACTGACAGAGAGAGCTTGCAAATCCCCAACTCGCTTCAAAGAAGTTAGCCCCAACAAAAGAGTAACCTTGAGAGTCAGAATCCTTTCTGGAGCTGTCTCCAAGGGCTCAAAAGGAGCTTCAAGTAAGCCCTCCAGGACGACTGACAAGTCCCAAGAAGGAACTCCAAGGAGGAGTGCTAGCTTCAGATGCCGAACCCCATGCATTAACATGGAGACCAACCAATGTCTCCCCAGGGGAACTTCATCCAACTCTCTCCGAGCGGCGATGCCGCGACAAACTCTCAGGGAAGTAGCAGCCGCTCCCACTGCAAAATTTTTCTTACCGGAACCCCAGCACTGGACCTACAGGGCAGCTGACAGGGTCCACCACATGGGCTAAGCACCATGACTCAAAGACCTTCCACTTGAAGGAATACAGCCTCCTCGTGGAAAGGGCTCTGGCACTAGCGACAGTCTCCTGAACATCGGCAGGAAGACTAGGATCAGGCATATCACCCTGTAGCCCAAGACTGGTCGCCCACTGAAGCGAAGCAGGGTTGAGCCTGGTCAGTACCTGGATGGGAGACCTCCTTGGAAAACTAGGTTGCTGTTGAAAGAGGTGTCAGTGAGGCCAGCAGGGGGTGCTCACCCTGTGGTCTGTGTGGGTCCTAGCGCCCCAGTGTAGTGATGGGGACACTATACTGTCATCAAGCACCATTCTTTGCATGAGACGTTAAACCGAGGTCCTGACTCTCTGTGGTCATTAAAAATCTCAGGATGTCTTTCAAAAAGAGTAGAGA